GGAAGGGAGTGAAGAGGAAGGAGAGGGACAATTTGGGTAAAACTCTCTCTCTCTCTCTCTGTGCGTGTGTGTGCATTGATTGAATGCAACAACCATGGGCTAGGATTGTACTGAGTGGTAGGAAAAGACACAGACGAGATAGACTTAGATCCACGATTATGGAGCTTCTAGTCTGTTTAGGAAGTGAGACAGTAAGTTACTATTGAACGTGTGCTTCTAAGAAAAGGCACTGGGTACTTATGGCATCAAAGACCAGGAAGGCCAAACCATGAGGTCAGAATATTGGAGGGAGCACATTCTGGCTTATGGAAATGTGGGAGCCATGGAGTGACCCCTCTTCTGATGGGAACTGGTCTGCCTCCCCAGGAAAGCTGAAGTGTAAATGGAGACTTGAAGTTAGAGCATAACTATCAGCTACTCAGGGGAAGGGAGTGAAGAGGAAGGAGAGGGACAATTTGGGTAAAACAGCACAGGCTGAGTGTGAAGCTGAGATGTAGGATGGAATATTCGAGAAGAGAAAAGCAGTTCAGTGTTGTTGCAGTAGAAAGATCAAATGGTGTTTGAAGAGCCTGGTTAGACAGTAAGGACCAGATCAAGGAAGACCTTGTAAAACATGTTAAGAACATAAAGCAGACCCAGCCCTGGTGGCATAGGCAGTAGGAGTGCTGCTCTGCAGTGCCAGAGGCAATACAGAAGGCTCTGGGTTCACATCCTGGGCCTACCTGATCATGCTGGCCACACCCACAGATGTGTCTGTGATCCTGGCTGGCTGCCGGACTGGGAGAGGATCATCGCATAAGGACTCCACTGAGGGTACTCCCCTACCTCATATGAAGGAAATAAACTAAAATCTATCTATCATCTATCTATCTATCTCTCTATCTATCTATCATCGGGCATAAATGCGGGGAAAAGTCAATCAAGTATTCTAAAGTTTGTTTCTTCCATGAATGAGAGGGACAGAGAGCACTCCATCAGGGTTTTCACACTGTGACACACCCCTAGTCCTTAGCCAGTCTTGCATCATGAGCATATCAGTGCCTGGTGCACTCGGGGAGGTCTTCAGACTTGAACCCAGAACCTTCCCATGTGAATCAGCTTCACAGAGCATCACGTTTTTACTGCTATGCTCCTGTCTAGCCCCTCAATGGAGTATTGTAAGCAGAGAAATGACATGGCCATCTCTGGGTGCTGTGTGAACGGTGGATCAGAGTGGGGCAAGTGGGAAGACCTTCTGGAAGGCAGTGGTGTCCCAGGCAGGGGGTGATGGTCACTGGGACCAAGGTAGGGGTGGTGAGGACAGGGAAGGGAATGGAACTGTGAAGAGTGGGAGGAAAAACTGACTGGACTTGGTGACTGAGTAGAAGTCAGGGTGAAGCGGGAGGGGATTGGGACTGGGAGGGCAAGGAGGACGCCATCTTTCTAGGCAGATGATGGTGCTGTTTTCTGAGAAAGGGGCAATGAGAGCAGAGTGGGATTTGGGGGTGGGATGAGACATGGAAGACGAATTCCATCTTGGATGTGTTGGTCTTAAGGTGTCTGTGGGAAACCTGAAAAGGGAGGTGTACGCAGGTAGCTGCAAGTGCTGTCTCCCTTGGAGAATGCCTGTCCAAACAGGGAGGTCTGAGGAGCATCACATCTACTTAGGTCTCGGAACTGTGGTTGTGGTAAGATCACTGAGGAATGTGTAGACTTAGAAGAGAGAACTTTGTTAGGGCTCTGGCATTAAAGGCAGGGCTGACTCAGGAACTCCCAGCCGCAGAGAGGGCCTGGACCTCAGAAGGGGCAGGCCATGACGCTTTTCCCCAATGTCTCATCCTGCCTTCCTGCCCACCCATCCTCGGCCAATTCCTTCCTTCCTTTCTCTGCAGACTGTTTTTCTTCAGTTGTCTGGCCAGTGCTGGAAAGATGGTCACTTCAGAGCTTTCAAGTTTAAAGCAGCCAGAATCTTCAAGCCCCAATCCTAAATTTCTGGAAAAGATATTTTGAATGGGCCAGTTTGAGTCAGGAATCTGCCTTCAATTCCATTCGATTGAGAATGCCTGCTTTAGATGAGGCAGCAAGGAAGAGAAGGCATTGCACTGGTAGAAATCCCAAATACTGGGGCAGAGCTCAAAAGAGGACCAGAACTGGAAGAAGAAAAGTTGCTACAAGCAAATGAGAAGGCACGTCCACAGAGGAGAAGGAAAGCAGGGCAGAGGGAGGGGAAGAAACCCCAAGAAGGAGACTGCAGCCGGCAGATCCAGTGCTGCTGGGAAAATGGGAAGGAGGACTGGAAAATGTCTATGGGACATAGAACATGAGGTTGTTCCAACTGCTTGCAGTGGTGGGTGGGAGGAGAAAGATGGCCAGTGGAGATAGGCTTTCTAGATTCCAGGACCTGGGAGCTTGGCTGTGAGTATAAACAGAGAGATTGGGCAGTAGCTGGAGGGGGAAGTCTTGGGATCTAGAAAGTATTTTTTTTGTTGTTATTTTCTAAAGTTGTGTGGTACCAATGCCCTGACTGGAGCCAGCAGAGGAGAGTGATCCAGGTCAAGCCAGGTGCAGAGTCCCTGAAGAGCAGGAGAGGGTGGAATGCTGTGCTGAGGAGGCAAAACCTTGGGGGTGTTAGCCTGGAGAACTCTGGATCTTCATCTCTTATCTTTCAAATGAGGATTATAGACCCTCCTTACTACTTTGCAAAAACACAGTTTGGGGACCAGCAGTTAGCGTAATGGCAGACCCTCCTTACTACTTTGCAAAAACACAATTTGGGGACCAGCAGTTAGCGTAATGGCTATGTCACTGGACTTCCACGTAGTCGACCGTGGTTCAAGTCCCGGACCCGGCAGCTTAAACTCATGCCGGGCGCATGTGCATGCGTGCCCAAGATCCTGAGAGGAGAATGGAGGAGAAGGGATTACAGCGTGGCCATCCCCCTTGGGGGTGATTTTTCACTTTCTGTCTCTCAGTCTCTCTCTGTCTTTCTGGAGAGCGCACACGCCCTATAGCAAAAACCTCCCCCCCAAAACAAACAAACAAACAAACAAAAACAACAACAAAAAAACCCCCACAATTTGAAAGTATTTTATTTATTTATTTATTTTGTAGAGGTTTTTGCCTTAGGGTGCATGCACTCACTGGGGAGTGAGAGAAGGAGACAGAAAGAGGGGAAGTAAGAAATCACCCCCTGGAGGGATGGTCATAGAGAAAAGCAATCCGTTTTCTTTTCTTTCTTCCTTTTTTTTTAAGGTTTAGGTTTTTGCCATAGAGTACATGTGCTCACAAGAGAGAAATGACAGTGAGAGGAAAAGTGAGAAATCACTCCCCAGGGGGATGGCCATGCTGCAGCCCCTTTTCGTCTATTCTCCACCTGGGATTTTGGGCATGCATGCACATGCACCCAGAGTGATTTTCAAGCTGTCAGGTCTGGTTTTTGAACCATTGTCAGTCATGTGGGAGTCCAGCACCTTAACTACCATGCCTGCTGGGCCGTGAAAAGTGATCTTATTAATGAGCAGGAGAGGATGTCTCAGGAGCATCAATGGGAGGGACTAAAGATTTTAATTAAAAAAAAAAAAGTAATACTGCCTTTGCCTTCTGCTTTTCTGAAGGGTCTTAAGGCATCATCCTTTAGAGCAGTTCTCAAATTTCGGCCTGTATTAGAGTTCCCTGGAGAGCTGTGGGAATGAGGTTGCTGGGCCCTAGCCCCAGAGTTTCTGCTTCTGTATCGAGTGGGGCCCAGAATCTGCGTTTCTAACAAGGTCCCAGGTTGATGCTGCTGCTACTGGTCCACTTAGAGAACTGCTGCTCAGGGCCTTGGTCTTGAGATCACTCTAACCTAGACATTGGGGAGAACAATTTACCAATGCATGCTCACATGCCAAATCCCCTTAGTTTAGAAGAATCCCTAGAAATAATGCAAGATTGTAAAGGTAAAATATTATGGTCAATGGAACCTGTCATTTTAAAAGAAGAATAAAATTTGTTTTAAAATAAATTTCTTCATATGATCCCAGCAGAGAGCAAACCCGCACCCATAAGCCGTAACCTAGAGGTGAGAAGAACACCGGCCCAGCCTTCACAGGGCACAGGTTCAGCTCCGCCATGGCCTTAGCTGTCATGGGAGTATCTTTCTGGATCTTCATCCCTTAGCTTTCAAATGAGGGTCATAGACCCTCCTCACTACTTTGCAAAAAATACAATTTGAAAGTATTTTATTTATTTATTTTGTAGAGTTTTTTGCCTTAGTGTGCATGCACTCACTGGGGAGAGAGAGAGAGACAGAGACAGTGAGAGGGGCAGTGAGAAATCACCCCTTGGAGGCATGGTCATGCCGCAATCCCTTCTCCTCCATTGTCTTCTTGTGATCTTGGGCACGCACGCACATCCACCTAGTGTAAGTTTCAAGCCACCAGGTCAGCGACTTGAATGGCAGTAGGCCATATGGGAGTTCAATCCCTTTTCCTCTATAGTCCTCCTGGAATTTTTGGCAGGCATGCACATGCACCCAGAGTGATTTTCAAACTGCCAGGTTAGGTCCAAGTTGTGAGGTTCTTGGGCTGTGTTCGACTCCAGTTCTGAGGTTTTGCTGTTACATGTGTCCAATCACTCGGCTGTGAGTTCTTTGTCTGTGCAATGGTGGCCATAGGGCTGTATAGTTCCGCAGGTTGGGCAGTGCATAAAATGAGATACTGACAAATGTTAGTGATCTTCGTTGTTACTATAGATATTCAGGAGCAAGGCTTATGACAATTAAGAGAGGCCATGGTTTTCACATCCTGGATTGCTTTTTTTCCATACGTGTAGAAAACTGAAGAAGTCCTAAAATGATCTTTATAAAAACTTAGTAGAAATATTTGTTTACACGGCAGTTCATTGCCTCTGGACACCTTGCAGCTTGAAATTCTGAGGACTACGCTTCCTTTGATGGCTCAGTGAGATCTGGAGCCCAGGCCCCCGCTGAGGGTTCCATCCAGAAACAGCAATAATGCAGCACCTTTCTCTCCTCTCTTCTGCAGACCACAGAAGATGAGCCTTCTGAAAAGGATGCCCTGCAGCCTGGCCGCAATATTGTGGCAGCGGGCTATGCCCTGTATGGGAGTGCAACCCTGGTGGCCCTTTCTACAGGGCAAGGCGTGGACCTCTTCATGCTTGATCCGGTAGGTACAGAACATGGGGTATTTTCCCGTGGGGACTCCACGGGCCTGTGTGCTTTAATTCCAGTCTTCTGAAGTACTTTCCTGATCATTCCTACTACTGGTTTCTGGGGCTAGAGAACCAAAGGGCCCAGAGGTAGAGCAAACACCATGATCAAAAATCACTGAAGGCCTCTGTCCAAGGGAGGGTATTGGGGGACAAAGTGTTTTCAGAGTCAGTTGTATCAATTCAGACCCAATCTTTAAGTTTATTTCCTCCAAATATATTTATCCATTTTGGTTTATGGGGACTCCATGATTTGAGGACCAATTTCCAGATAGATTCCTTAGAGCAGCACGTGCTGTGAAGCAGGATTTGTCCTGTAATCGTGCAGGCCAGCATAGATGCCACTAACCTCACGTGCCTTTTAGACATGTAAAATGTGGCTAGTATAACTGGATTTTTTATTATTAATTTTTAAAACTTTTCTTTCTTTCTTTCTTTCTTTCTTTTTTTTTTTAACATTTAATCACTGTACCTCTCCACAACATACAAGATGTATCTTCCCAGTGTAAATACACTGCATATCAGTCGGGTCAAAGACCTCCTACACATTATCATCAACAAATATTTTTCCATTTTTGTGTCCATTAAATGTTTTGCTTTTTTTTCCTCTTGATTCCCTCCCTCCTACCCCTCATGGCTCACCTCTCCTACACTGTCTCTAGTATCCAGTTACTCTCCATGTTACCGTATTTCAGTTTCTGCCATAGAGTGCAGGCATCTGGACTTTCACATTTATTTGATTTTAATTCATTTAAGTAGCACATGTGACAAAGGGTCAGCCTATTAGGCAGCAGGGTTTGGAGAATTCCCTGATATGCAAGCCCTTCCCGTGGCAGGAATGAATGAAAAACTCTCCTGTCAGCTTCTGTGTTATTCTCCACACTTTCCACAGTGAGAAACTGCCTTGCAGTAGAAGACGGAGATGCGTGACCTCTGGGTGGATAAAAAAATAGGGTAGCCCCGTCCTGACTGGAGGAGGAAATGACTGCGTAAAGACCTGAGAGTTCAGTAAACAAGGTTCAGCCTTCGTGGCATATCTACATTAAAAGTGGTCAGGAGACATTTCAGAAAATTTTTGTAAGTTACAGGATTTCTCTTTTAAATGATGGATGCTTTGCCTATCACTAGTGAACTGCTATGCTGAATATGACCAGGCCGTGTGAAAAACTCAAATAAAGACCCTTCAAAGCTCCAGTATCCATTAATCTTAAGTTTAGTATTTCAATTTAATTCAGATTTACAAATGTTTAGTGAGCAGCCACTATGTCCAAATAATGGTCCTAGGCGTTGAATGCAGATAGCCCTGATCAAACAAGCATTCTAGCCATAGTGGAGTTTATATGTTAGTGCAAAAGTGTGGAGAGTGGGCAGTTGCAAAATTTCCGAACAGAACAGAGCTGACTATCAGAACACATTTTATAGTATGGCTATCAAGTAACTTTTGAACATTATCTTTTTAAACATAAACCCCTTAGACCCAAACCTATTTTTTGTTAGCTTGCTGATGCCTTAATTTCCCCTTTCTTCCAAAGAAGCAGGAAAAACCTGAGCAATTCTGTAGTTTACTCTCAAACATTAAAGTGTTCTTTCTACAACTTCTCTAGAATAACAGCTAACAGTTGTATATTGCTAAGTTTAGCACTATATAGTGTTAAGTAGTGAATTAATTTTTTTAAAAGAAGTATTTATTTAATTTCATCTATTCATTTGTTTATTTAAATTTGATGAGGGTGGGAGGAGAGAGAGAAAGAGAAAGCCACCGAACCATGGTTGGCCATGTGGGATGTCCAGGACTTTAACCACCATACCACCTGCTGGTTCTGTGAATTCATTTTCTAAGCAATTCATTTCTATTAATTCATTAATACATCTAAATTGCCCTAAGTGGTAAGTTCTACAATTATTCCCATTTTCATATAAGAAAAGGGAGCTATACTAAGTGTAAACAACTTGGCCAAGGTCATCCTGGTTGTGCCAGGATTCACACTCAGGCAGTCTTGTGCTTCACTCCTATACCAGACTGAATTTTGAGCACTCTGCTCTTGAATGTGGGCTAAATATCTCTAAGAAGATTCTGAAGTGATTCTAAAGGCCATGGGAGGTGCCATTCAGAGATTCAATTCAAGTCTTCATAGGCACAGACAAAGCCTCTGCTTGGGGCTCGCTCATGGTAGGAGGGCCCTGCCTGGACAGAGGTGAGCTTGTCTACACATCAGAAGAAGAGAGGAACCATGCATACTCCTCTGATAACTCTTTGCCAGCTTGAAAGTCTTTTGGATCACATCACCCTACTAAAAGGGGCATTAGAGCAAGGCCCCAGGTCTGTTTGGGATGTTGAGTTGAAGCTGAAGGAGATGATTGTCATTGTCACAGATGGAGGGTGGCCACAGCTTACTGATGTGCAGGTCCTTGCAGGACAGAGCTCCCTAGTGGGTTGGTCGGAGCCTGTTGGATCTGTGGGTTTATAAGTCCAGTCATTTGATCTTGTGAGGCACACATTTTGTTCAGGCACAAAGGGATTGCTTCATGTGAACCAGACTCTCATTTGTGAGGTAAACCTTGTACAGGAATCCACTTACAAGTGGGAGATATGTGTCAGAGTAACAAAGACCTGGCGTCTGATCACTGGGAGCTCCCCTCTGAAGCATGTGTGAGGCCATATTGATAATCAGAGGTAGTTGCTGACACAGAGAGCAGAGGAGCGTATTCTCCAGGCTCAGGTCAGACTTCACAACCATCTCTGTCCCACAACTCCTCAGAACCTAAGAGTCCACACCCCACACACAGGAGTAGATACTCAGGCCTTTCCATAGCCAGACAGATGGAGCAGAGGCTCCTCGTATCATTTGGCTAGTGAATACTATTGCTTAGAGGACAGTTGTATCTGTCATGCTCTTTACTGATAAGCAAGAGAGAAGATGACCCTGGATCAGTTGAGTAAAAGGAATTACTGCCTGATAAAGCCGAGGACCTAAAGCATAGAGGGGCAGGTCTGGAGGACCAGGAGCACGAAGCACAGGAGAGGTGGGGCAACATGGCCATTTCAATCCAGACACCCTCTCTGGACCTATGTCTCTCACTCAGGTTTGCAGTGGCTGGAAGGAGAACTATTTTTCCAAGTTAAGTCACAGGCCTGACCTTGATTTGAAAAGGCCTAGATAGAGTCTTCTTGGACTAGCATCCAATGAGAAGAGTTAATTATTCAAGGGAAATTACGATACTTTTAAGAAGTGGAACTCAGCACTGGGCCGCTACAAAGCAAGAAATACCCACAGTGAGTTGTTAAAGCTTATGAAGTAAAGACAATCAAGAAAGTACCTATAGTAAAAGAAGGGGAGGCCACACTCCGGAAGAACCACAGAACCTTGTATTACACCAGTGAAGCTTTTGCTTCATGTGTCTAAGGAGGTATTTAAGGAAGAGTAAGTGAGGTCTGTATTACATATTGTCTGGAAGTGGGTATGATTAACGATGAGGCAGCTTAGTAACTGTTATCTAGACGGCAGGACGAAAGAGTCTAGAGATTCATTGGTAAAGTGGCAATCATCACTGTTAGGAGGCACGAGAGAAGGATGCTTAGTTATTTTTGTGGTTGTTGCATGTCCTCATCACTGCCTCGTGTTAGACATGGCCTGGTGGCCTTGTCTCATTATAGTTGGGGAATGTGGTTTATGTGCCTTGGAGCCTTCTAGTCTGGCTACCGACTGTGAGCTGTCCTCTTGGGAATTTATAACTTTCTCATAGTCTTCTAAATTTATCAAAACTGATTCAGTTTCCACTCCCTGATTTCCCTCCTGGTGATGTAGGAGACATCAGTGTTTAAGGCAATAGCTGCAGCTAGTTGATCACATCCATAAGGGCTGACATTGCCAGCTCTAGGTAGTGGGGTACCTGAGGAGTGTCCTGCAGGTATTGATCAGAGTGGCTATGGGGGACTATGGGAAATGGGCATTGTTCTAGTACTCTCAGATGGAGGGTGGCCACAGCTTACTGATGTGCAGGTCCTTGCAGGACAGAGCTCCCTAGTGGGTTGGTCGGAGCCTGTTGGATCTGTGGGTTTATAAGTCCAGTCATTTGATCTTGTGAGGCACACATTTTGTTCAGGCACAAATGTTAGACATGGCCTGGTGGCCTTGTCTCATTATAGTTGGGGAATGTGGTTTATGTGCCTTGGAGCCTTCTAGTCTGGCTACCGGCTGTGAGCTGTCCTCTTGGGAATTTATAACTTTCTCATAGTCTTCTAAATTTATCAAAACTGATTCAGTTTTCACTCCCTGATTTCCCTCCTGGTGATGTAGGAGACATCAGTGTTTAAGGCAATAGCTGCAGCTAGTTGATCACATCCATAAGGGCTGACATTACCAGCTCTAGGTAGTGGGGTACCTGAGGAGTGTCCTGCAGGTATTGATCAGAGTGGCTGTAGGGGACTGTGGGAAATGGGCATTGTTCTAGTACTCTGAGGATTCCTTGCATTGTTGCCACCTTTTCTTCATGCTGAGGAAACACAATTTCTGGGTGAAGGGATTTTGTTTTTTACCTCAGATAGGAGTAATTTGGATCCTAGGAACTTTTAATGGTTTCCAAGGTTGAGTCACTAAGATAAACAAAATAACTGGACCACAAATTAGTAGTTAAACTATTTTCCACACCCATCTGTATAACTTCTTCCTCTCTTTTTTGAGGGCCCAGACCTTTTTGAGAATAGTAAGTCTGGGATGAGAACTTGAGGGACAAGGACAGTTGGATTCCTTGTTAACTGGGTGGCCTCAGTGACTGGAAGGTACAAAGGAAAAGCGAGACCATTGGCCCCCTTTTAAAAAGTTATTTTACTTCTCCTTATAGTACTCCTTGAGCTTTCTGTGTAGGTTCAATATTTCAACTGCTCTTTCTGTCACACACAAAGATGTCCCAGCATGGCCACAGCAGAGGCCTGGGTTCTCCAGCAGGCCCATACTTTCTAATGTCCTCTGATTGTCATGCAGTTTGCTGTTGGCACCTGTGTCCTGGAATATGTCCTTTTCTTTCTGTCTCTGTCTTTCTAGGCTCTTGGTGAGTTTGTCCTGGTGGATAAAGATGTCAAGATTAAGAAGAAAGGAAAGATTTACAGCCTCAATGAGGGCTATGCCAAATATTTTGATGCAGCCACCACTGAATATGTGCAGAAAAAGAAATTCCCTGAGGTGGGCGAAGAAAGCCTTGGCCAGTAACAGGATAACGCTGTCTTAGTAGGGTCCTGTGTGGGTGGGCTTTGGGGGCCTGGATGAAAGTGTTGACACCACTGTGCGTCTCTGGACTGTGTAAGTATGGTGGATCTGCTTTCTTCATAAACAACCAATATCTTTTACAGCTAAGATTTACCTACTAATGGTAATACTTTCCAGTTGTGTTTTCCCAGGAGAAATTGTTTATAAAGAAGGCAGAGCCACATTTTCAAAATTCAGAGATTAAGGTCAAAATCTGTCTCAAATCATCTGTTACATGTAGCTATTAAGCACTTGAAATGTGGCTATTCCAAATTTAGGTGTGCTATAAGCATAAAGTACATGATGAATTTTGAACACCTTGTGAAAAAAGTGAATGTTAAATAATTCTCTTTAATGATTCTTTTTTCACAGAGAAGTGGTAATATATTGGCACATTATTTTTCATAGACAGGGTCTTGCTATCTTGATTGTCCTGCCTCAGTCTCCTGGGTGAGACTACAGGCACACACCAACACATCTGACTGTTTTCAGACCGGATTTTGCTGTGTTGCCAGCCTCAAGTTCTTTATTCTCCTGCTCCAATCTTCTTGAGTTGTTGGTGGGATTATAGGTTCACGCTACTCTGTCTGACTTTCAGGTTAGACCAGGAATCAAAGCTGGGCCTTCCATGTGGTCCTAGCCTGTGAAACACAGGGTTTTAGCAGTGCAGACCACAACAACTGGACCAGACGTGATCTTAAATAAAAAACATTATAAAAATTAATTTCACCCATTTCTTTTCTTTTAAAAAAATTTATTCATTGTCATTATTTTACTTTATTTATTTATTTTTTTGAGGTTGGCCAGAGAAAGACAGAGAGAAGAAAGTGAGAAAGCAAGCTTCCAGGTCCAGGACTCAAACTGTGGTCAGCTGTGTGGGAGTCCAGCCACCTTAACCACCATACCACCTGCTAGCCCCACACCCATTTCTTTTTACTCTCTTTAATGTGGCTGGCAGAAAATGTAATAATTTTCTACATCTTTGGCTTGCATTATACTTCTATAGGACAACACTAGTTCATTTACTTTATTTTAATTTGATTGGCATAGTAATTACATATACTTAAGGGATTTGGTGAGATTTCTTTCTTTATTTTAACTTTTAATTAATTAATTTATTTACATTCATTCACTGATCATTGTCACAAATGTGATATCAAAATGTGATTTCCCATCCAGAATATACTGCATAGTGACTTAATCATACATGCTATCATCAATAATTTTCTATTTCTAGTTTCATATATATATATATATGTATATTTTCCCCCTATTTCTCACCCTCTGTCTTTTTTTTTTTGGAGAGGTTTTCGCTATAGGGCATGTGTGCTTGCCAGACAAACAAGAGACATAGAGACAGAAAGCAAGAAATCACCCCCCAGGGGGGATGGTCGCACCGCAATCCCTTCTCCTCCATTCTCCCCTCGGGATCTTGGGCACGCATGCACACGTGCCCGGTGTGAGTTCTAAGCC